TCCTTAAAGGGAAGGAGAATATTGCTGTGGGTTCTCGTGGCACTCAGTGGGTTAATCTGTGTGTTACAGATGTTCGGTGGGGCTTCCCAATTCTGCTGTGACCTGAGATAAACCAACCTCTGCAGAAGCAGCTATTAGCAGAGGACGTTAGGATGTTAGCTTTCCCTAAGCGGCCTTCTTGTAAGGGCTGTGAAAATTTAATATTGAATTTATTCTACTCACTACTCCATAAAACAACTGGATCTCCTTGAATGAGTGTCCCAGGAGCGTTGTGCTGGAGCCACCCTCTACTTCTGTGGCTATACAAAGCAGAGATGTTAAACACATCCCAAACATCCCACAGCACTTTTTTTTCCTTCCTGATGCTTTTAGCAGCAAGCTGTTTATCGCTACAGCTTTAGTGACAGGTGTGTGGGGACCACAAAACATGACAGCTGATGGGGCTCTGTGTCCCCATATATCCAGTTATAACTAAGAGGAAAATACTTGTGTCAATGCAACTTTGGAAGGAAGGAGACACTTTTGAGAGCCTGTGCTTGGATGGCTGGTGTGTCTGTTGAGCACTGGCAGGTCTGAGTTCAGCCCATTTGTGGTCTAGAAGTTTGGCCCATCTGCCTGGAGCATTAGCCTGGGCACGGGATGGCTGTTCCTAGAGGAACCTTCACTGGGAAACACCTAAGTTTAGTCTGAAATCTCTTCGTGGAGGTGCTAAATCTGTCACTGAACAGGTTGTGAAGTGAGCACGTCCTGGTTTCAGCTGCGTTAATTCTTCTTCGTAGCTAGAATAGTGCTGTGTTTTGGAAGGATTTTCGAATTATGTGGATGTGAAAACAATTTTCTCCGTGTGTCATTGAGGACAGTCCCCTTGCACCGAACTCAGTTGTCAGACCAGCTTCAGTAAGTCCTTCAGCAAAGGGTCGTTGGCCAGGGAGTGCTGGGCTGGTCAGAGGGTGATGATACCCAGAACAAAGCCTTTTGGAGCCTCAGCTGAGCTGTGAATGGAGCAGGCTGGTGGAGCTGGACTCTGACCTGCTCATAAATTCTAACCAGGCTCCATCTGCCCAGACCTGCCTGGAGGCTCAGTGCTCCTTTCCAAAGGAGTCCTCAAACTGTAAACCAAGATGGAGCCACATTTGGGCTTTTTCCCTGACATTTGTCATTATAGGTGCTCTGTTTTCCAACCATTGAGTGAACTTACCAGTGTCTAGGATGGCCCTGCCTTTGGCCAGTAAAATAGTGAACCGTGGTATTACTGGCATATTCCTGAGATTGTTCAGAGATGTTTTTGTGGGTAGAATGGCCTCAATTTCCTATCATTTCACTACCTAAGAATTTCCTCTGCATGGGCTTGCTTTCTCTCTTTTAATAGCAAGAATGATATGAGACAAAAAAGCCAAAACAGAAATCTTAAAATGCATTGTATATCTAGTCATGGTGAGCAGAATTTGTTTTTCTTCTGAGCAGTTTATTGACACGGGCTTTTTTTAAAAAGCATTACAAGTGTCTTCAAACTCTTTATCTTAAACTTTGGTGTCTCCATGTTTAACACTGCTGTTCCCAAATGGGCTTGGGCGTAGGTGGAGTCTAAGATAGTTGGGGAGCATTTGTTTTGCGTTATCTTACTGGGTTTGGGGTTTTTGCTGTGTCTTTTTATTTTTTTTTTTTTAAAGAAATCTCCTTTTATGCATATTTGAGGAGCCGGAGCAGCTGTGAGGAGAAGCTCCATATCTGGGCAGGAAGTCCTGCTGACCAGGCAGCCTGAAAAACAGGCAGCGGCCCCTGTTATGTTTGGCCCCCGCGCAGCGGTGGAAGTGAGTGGCTCAAACCTCCCTCCGCTTCTGCGGGAGTGAGGAATGATGCTGGCCTGCAGACAGAGACGTGGCTGGGCTGCCCGGGGGGCTCTCAGCCCGCAGGGATGTGGGTAAACGTCCCGTCCCCGTGGGGAGGGGGCTGGGGTCCCTTCGCCCGGGGCTGCCCCCGGTGTGGTCTGCCCAAGCCACAGGGATGTCCCCGAAGCTGAACGGGGGCCTCCTGAGCTGCCATCCCAGCACCATCCCCTCCGGCCGCAGACCCTCACCTCCGAGGGCAGGGGGGACCCGAGCCAGCCCAGGAGCCACGTGTTTCCCCGTTTTTTGCGTTGCCTCCCCCATGTTTTCTTACAGCTTTGGGCTCACAGCTGGCTCGGATGGCGAGGAGGGCTGAGTCGCGCCGCTGACACCTACAAACAAGAGTTTCTGAGGAGCTCTGGAGCTCCCAGCGCGCGGTCTGGTCCTGGCCAGAGCCGTGCACAAGCCCGGGGGGGGCCGGTGACTGGCTCTTCCGCGCACGTCTGAAGCGATACGCGACCGGAGATCAGGGCGAGGAATTGTTTAGCAGCTGTGTCTTGAGGAAACGGACGACGCGCTTTGGTTGTACGACCCAAAGCCAAGGGTCGCCTGTGCGTGCCGACGGGTTTGCTCTGGGGAAACAGTGATGTCAGCCTGCTCTGTTAAACAGGATCCGTTTTACTGTATTTGGGCTGAGCAAGCGTGTAACGGCGGAGGTACGAAAGCAGTCCCGGGGGTGCTGGCAGGGGTGCCGGGCCAGGGGGTGGAAGGGTGCAGCCTGCCTCGCTCCAGTTGGGCCCAGGAAGCCTTTTTACAGGGCTGCTCTGTGCTGCAGGCTGCCCCTTGGGTTGGAAGCGCTCGTCGGCCTCGTCCATCCACCTGCGAGCTGGCTGCTCACCCGCTGCTGGGGGGGTCACCCCGCCGATCCCAGCTCCGCCGGCTGCCCGGCTTCGGGACGCTCGCCCGGCCCTTGGCAGTGGGCAGCCACGTCCGAGCCGTGCTGTGGCAGGGGTTGGGGTCGGGTGGGTGTCTAAAACAGCCCCGGCAGCCTGGACACGGCTCCTCCGGCCGGCTGGGGTGATGGGTAGCGCCAGCCCGCTCCGAGAGCGCCGATCCGGTAGGTACTTCCGTGGGGTTTAGGCTGAGTAAAGAGCGGTCAACCTCAGTTACACCTGGGACATGGAGAAGAAGTCGTATTTGGACAAGTAGGACGAATTACCAGGTTGAATAAATTACCAAGAAAGTGTTTTGTTAACACTGAAGCAATAAAGGGAAACACTGGGTTTACGTATCCGTGTGGAGGCCCCAGGCTGGTGCCCCCCCCCCCCCCATGGCTGCGAGTTCCAGCACTGGCACTTGGGCTGTGGAGCATCAGGTTCTCTCGTTGGGGGTTCACACACTGGTTCTTGCTACTGGCAATGCTTTTCCCTTGCTTTCCCCTCCATATGTAATGGAACTTTTCCAAACGAGTTTATTTAACCCAGATGTTTGTATTTTAAATAAACAACCATTCATAGTCCCTTGCCTATACTCAGCTTCCGTCTGATCAGAGTCAATTAAAAAAAACCCATCAGTTAGTAGATCTCTAACACATGGTTCCAGGATGGGTAAGATTGTAAGTGGTCTGTGCTGAAATCTTAAATGCCTTTATCTCTTCTGGAGAGCTGGCACATAGCTGAAGAATCAAAAATGTCCTATTTTTCTGGATACTAGAGGCAGGGTGGACAGTATGTGCACGTTAAGACCATTTTTAAGATGCAATTTTATGAATCCCCAGGGTGAAAGGCCTTTTCTCCGGCTTCAAAATACCTGGAAAAACTACAGGTTAAAAATGAGGTGAAGACTACCGGTGAAAGCTGAGGAAAAAATGAAATAGCAGTCCTATGGGCAAAGTGAGCTGAAATGGGCCATTTCGTACCCTTTGGGCTGTGTTTCTCAAGGATGAGCAGCCTCGTATGGAGACTTAATAGTTCCGCACAAAAAAAGGCGTGTAAAGGCCCGTCGTCTATCTGAAAATTGGCAAAGCGGTGTCCAGTCCTTTCTAGAGCCACCTGCTCGTAAGAGCTTTGTCCTTACTAGCAACACTGGGTTTTCAAGGTAAATTGAATGTCTTTCCTAACCGAGCGCCGTCAAATAACCTTTTCCTCTCGAAAGCTGCAGAATATGAGTTTGCCTGGCAGAGCGGGGCGTTCCAGGGGTGTCCCAGGGGAGCTTTGGGGAGCCCGGGAGCTGGTGTCTGGGGGCGGGAGGAAGGGGGGGGGGGCTGCCAGCATCGTCCCCGGCGCCGCATCCGAGCGGAGCTGCGGAGCCCGCGCTGCTGGGCAGAGCTTAGGGCTGGCCACCCCCTCAGCCGCTGCCTGCCGTGCCCGGCCACCCCCCGCAGAGCCCCCGCAAAGGGGGATTTATTTTTTTTTTTTTAATCTGCACGGCAGAGTGAAGGAGCTGAGCGCGTTCCCCCAAAGCCACACTTCAAACACCAACCTCTGCTCTTTTACCGCTATCGATTCCTCCGTCGGCGAATAGGTTTGGGCAGGGACGGCCCCTGCCCAGCCCCGTGTAAAGCTGGTGTAAAGCTGTGGGGAGGGCAGCGTGCAGGGCACGAGGGCTGCTGGGGCTGGGCGAGGAGGACAGGAGCTGGGGCGAGAGGCAGTGTGACAAATATTGATTTAAACAGCGTATGATCTTGCAGTGAAAGACCATCGTGACACAGAAACACACGTGGACTAGATTAATATCGCACAGGCAGGCAACACCCTTCTCCAGCACTGGAAACTGCTGCAGCCTCCACTGTGCTTCTGATGCTTTCGGGAGGGTTTAGACATCCACAAGGATGTGATGAAGGGGAGCAAGTGCCAAAAAGGGCATGGGGGGGGAGACCTGTGTGTTAGGCCTTAACGGAGAATGCAGACTGCAAGGTCTGAAATGGTCAGAAAATTGCAAGAGCCTGACGCTTTATAATGCTTCTTGAAGACTGCCAGTGTCGGGGTCTTGCGGAGGTGGATGACCACCCTGCAGTTTAATCTCTGACTGCACAGGGTTGGATCTGTTGAGGTGGGGGCAAAGCTCCTGAGATGCTGCTGTTGCTTCTGCTGGGTGTGTGTGTCCTGGGGATGGGACTGTCCGTGCTTTGAGGTGAAAACCTTCATCCCAAGCATCCCTAAATACACTTGTAGCAGGTCTGCATGGGCAGTGGTCAGAAGGCGTTTTGGGAGGTTTGAGGCTTCACAGGACGTAAGGACAAGTGACAGTATTGGTACTCTAGTCTCAGATAATCGTTGAGGATACAGCCTTTCCAACTCGGGTGTCCTGTTCTCTTCCAGATGTCGCTGAGCCAGCCGCAGTCGGGACGAGGTGTGCCTTGCTTACGCTGCAGAGGGACGTGCGCGGGCTTCGAGCCACATTCTTGGAGGTAATGTCTTGGCCTCGGTGGGCCCTGCCCTGACACTCTCCCTTTGGTCCTGCTGATGTTCAGATTCCGGTGACGCTGAGTGCAGAGAACTGTTGGGGGGGTGCAGAGAGGACTCGCTGGCCAGCCAGGACGCCTGCGGAGCCAGGAGGGTGCTTGTGTTCCCTGCTCTCCATCCCCCTTCCCTCACTGGTCCTGCTCTTTTATTTGTTTGAGTTAAAACCTCATCCACAAGTGTTTAAACCGAGCTGAGGCTCTCATGCAGTGGGGCTTTTTTTCCGTTTTTGCTACCATTGCCTGGTCCCTGGGAGTCGAGACTCTCTCTGCGAGGCTGGGCGCAGGTCTTGGCAGCGAGCTGTGGCTTGGGCAGAGCAGAAAGCTGGGCTGCGAGATGGCCCAGCCTGCAGAGGGGCCTGTCCCCCAGCACGGCCCTGCGTGGTGGGTGCTGTTCAGTGGGACAGCAGGATGGGGACACGGGGCCGAAGCTGCTGCAAGCTGTGCTCGGCACAAGCCACCCGACGCCCTGCGCGGCGAGTGGGCTGGCGCCCGGCTCCTCTGCCCGCCAGGTGGTTTGCAGAGGGGTTAGAGAGGCGAAGCACGTCCTCGCTTGCTTCGGAGGCAGGGAAATGCTGGCCGGCTGGATAATCCCGCGCTGTCGGCAGGAGTTGTGCTGGGTTCCTGGCTGTCCTCGGGGGTGAGCGTGGGTGCGGAGTGGAGCAAAACCGGTGCTGGTCCCACTCGGCTGTTGCAGCTGGTCGTCCTGAGCATCCTGACAGCTGAGGTGCTGTGCTTAGCGCCGGAAATGTCTCGTTTTTTGAGACTTTACTTTCAGTTTTTCCTTTTAAAAACACTAATTTAGGTAGATCGGCACCAATATCAGGAGCTGGTGGGAGCCGACCCGTCCTGCGTGCTTGGCTCTGGGCAGGGGCAGTGGGCTGCTGCCCCGCCCCATCTGCTTCCAAACCCAACCGGGAGAAACAAAGGGGGCTTTGAAATGGAAGGGAGCTATCCAGATGTCATTAATTAAAAAAGCATTAGTGCCCTCTGAGGTTGCCTTGCAAAACACTGGGCTCTTTTCTGCGAGCCCCCGGGGAGCTCCTGTTTGCCGTGGGCCGAGCAGCCGGGTCCCGGGGCCGCGGTCCGCAGGTGTGCTGCTGGAATGCTTCACGTGGCGGCAAGCAGCCGTGGCCTGCAGCCTGCCCTTCCCGTCTCAGCGCCTCAGCTTTAAGACTTTAAAACGCTCCTTTGGTTGAATCACTGCTTTTGTTTTTTTTAATTGACTCAATTCAAGGCTGGTTGGAATCATGCTTGTTCCAGGATCCCGCTGAAATACTTGGGGTTGCATCAGAGTTGGTTTGTCCTTTTTGCTGTTAGCATCTGATAGAAAAGCAGAGTGGCCTTACAGACTTATCTTTATGATTTATAGCTATTGTAATGAAAACTATAGACAACTAGTATCCATTCCTCTTTTAGCAGTCACCTCTTTTAATGGCATTCAAGCTTGGAAGAGCTGGGGCTAGTGCTCAGCTGTTGGAGCCGGATGAGGGTGGGAGATTTAACGATGCTTGAAGGGGTTTTCAGAGGTCCTGGGCAGCGGCAGCTCCTCGTGGGGATGGGGGGGCAGCAGTCTGCCAGCGCCGCTGCGGCTGCTTTCGCCTGGGGGAGGCACTTAGGGGTTTGCAGCTTTCTGCTCCGTGCCACTGCCGATCCCTCTGGGATGAAAAGCTGGACATGAGCTGGTAGTATGTGCTCGCAGCCCAGAACCCACCCGTGCCCCGGGCTGCAGCCAGAGCAGGGGGGGCAGCAGGGCCAGGGAGGGGATTGTCCCCCTCTGCTCCGCTCTGGGGAGACCCCCCTGCAGTGCTGGGGCCAGCTCGGGGGCCCCCAACAGCAGAAGGACCCGGAGCTGCTCGAGCGGGGCCAGAGGAGCCACGGAGATGCTGGGGGGGCTGGAGCAGCTCCCCTGGGAGGCCGGGCTGAGAGAGTTGGGGGGGTTCAGCCTGGAGAAGAGAAGGGGCCGGGGACCCCTTCGAGCGGCCTCCCAGGGCTTAAAGGGGGGCAAGGGGGGGAGGGACTGTGGATCAGGGTGTAGGGATAGGATGAGGGGTAATAGTTTTAAACTGCCAGAGGGGAGATTTAGGTGAGATGTAAGGCAGAAATTGTTCCCTGTGCGGGGGGTGAGGCGCTGGCCCAGGGTGCCCAGAGCAGCTGTGGCTGCCCCCTCCCTGGAAGGGTTCAAGGCCAGGTTGGACGGGGCTGGGAGCCCCCTGGGCTGGGGGAAGGGGGTCCTGCCCGGGGCAGGGGGGGGCACTGGGGGGCTTTGAGGGCCCTTCCCGCCCAAACCAGCCTGTGGTTCTGTGAATCGTGCTGAATTCCCGTGTGCAGCTCAGGCCACAGGAGCCTTTTGTCTCGTGGCATAACCCCGGTCTGCGTTTAACCTCTGGAAGAGGCTGACGCTCCGTGGCTGAGCCGTCGCGTGCCTCCCGCGGCCCAGCTCGCATCGAAAGGATGATCTCGCTTTGTCACCCGCAGGAAAATCTGCAAGTCGTGCAAATGCAGCCAGGAGGATCACAGCCTGAGCTCGGACGTGGAGGACGACCGGAAAAATCGGGCGCCTGCTGTCGGACTCCAAGTACGCCACGCTCACCGCCCGGGTGAAGGGAGGTGACGGCGTTCGCATTTACAAAAGGAACCGCATGATCATCACCAACCCCATCGTCTCTCGGAAAGACCCCACCTTCGACACCATCACGTACGAGTGGGCTCCCCCGGGACTCACCCAGAAGCTGGTAAGGTGACCCACAGCGCGTTTGGCAGGTAGTGGTGTCGCTTAGCGGAAAAAGTAACTCAGCTCTGGAATAAGGTTATCGGGGGGGGGGGGGGGGGGGGGAATAGCAAAACTTATGGTTTGCCTTGGAGAGCAAAAACATACGTAACACTTGGTGTTTTGGAAAACCGTGTAGGTAACCAGAGTAGGTAGGAGAGGGGAATGGCTTGCCTTTGGGTTTTTATAGGTTTGCTTACATTTCTAAGAGAAGTCTTAATGGGGTTTACAACTAGAAAGCTCGCTACTTTGGTAAAGCTCGCGTCCAATAAAAACATTGCTCTGGAGAGGTCCCATCCCTGCTGTCCTGCCAGTCGTACCACGCCTGTGCAGCCCACGCAGGCTCCAAAACCCCAGGCTGGATGTGGGAGCGATCCCCCCAGACCTTCTCGGGGTGTCCGGGCAGGGGTTGGTGCCCTCCCTGACCATCCCCAGGAGGGCACCGCGGCGGCAGAAAGCCGTGCAGGCTGCGGGACACCCGCAAGGACGAGTTAACGCCAGAGCCCCGTCTCGTGCTTTTAAAACACCGCGGGGCTGGGCCGGGCTCCTGGGAGCAGCCGTGGAGACTCCAAGCTCTTCGGGTGGTTTATCTGGGCAGGACGACTTGTCCTGGGCCTTGAGCTCTCTGTTGGAGAGGCGGGTCCCGCCTTGCTCCTTGGGTCTGATCTCTTGCAAACGTGGGTGTGAGCCTGTCCCAGGAGCAGCCAGCGCGGGCGGAGGGAGGTCGCTGGGACAGTTCCCCTAACCTGGAGGGTTTTTTCAGTCAATCACTTCAGGAAATTGTGCTTCAGTCTCTTGAAAGCTGAAAAATCAAATCAGTGTGGAAAGAAGTAATGCTGCATCTAAATCCAGCGCTGTGCTTCTAAATTACTCCGTTACGGATGTGGACTTTAATAAGGGAAAAATAACTGTAGTCTTCCATATAGTAATTATTTTCCTTGCTTGCTGAGGTAGTCATTAAAATCTCTGACTTAAAATAGGCCTGGCATCTCAGATCTATTAACCAGGAGTGCAACTAGCGCTCACTTGTGCCTCTAAATGGCAGAACAGCCCCAAACCACCCCAAAACGCAGCCTTTTTTCCTGCTGGATGCTGCATCACCTCTGCCCCAGCAGGCGTCCGTGGGAACACCGAAACGGAGCCGGAACAGGGTGTCGGCGCTGTTTACTTCATGGCTTAACGTCTTTGCCGTGCTGTTTCTGTTTTCATCTCGGCTCTGACTCGCTGGGCAAGTGGCGGGGAAGGGGAGGAGGGTTTAAGTTCTCCCCGGCAGCGGTGGGCAGCCGGATGGTTGTGCCTTGGGGGCTGCCCCTCTCCTGATTTCAGAAGAGCATCGCTTCGGTGGAAAACATCCTCTGGCCCCCCCCCCCCCCCACCACCACCACCACCACCACCTCTCCGAGGTGCAGCACAGCCCGGCCCTGGCCCTGGCCCTGGCCCTGGCAGGTTTGTGGAGTTTCCCGCTGCCGGGACCGGGAGCGGGGAGGCTCGTCGTGCCGGGAGCGGAGCTCTGTGCCCGGGAGCATCCTGCCCGCAGCCCCGCCGGCGCGACCGCTGCTGCCCCCCGGGGCGGGGGGGGACCCCTCCCGCATTCAGCGCCGGAGCTTTTCCTTACAGCTCAACAGAGGCCGGTCCGAATTCCTCCTGGTGAGGTTTTGTAAAGAGAACTCGGGCTAAAAAGGGGAGATGGGGAGCATGGTCCCATGCCGAGGGCTGGATCCGAAAAGAAGCCCCCAGCCCAGCCCCACCTTCCCTCCTGTGCCTGGTTTCCATCCGGGCAAGCAATTTTGCTGTGTGGGAATGACTGGAAGTGGGTTTTGGGGTGTGGAAGTGTTAGGCAGCAGAGCACTTCTTGAGGGAAAGCATTTAACTGGGTTTTAACTGTGTTGCGGTACTAAAAAGGTTATACATTACACTGTCATTAGCGGACAGCTTTTGCTCTTCAAATTAAACAAATAGTTCAAAGCTGCTGAAAACTACAACCAGATTTTTTTTTTTTTTCATTTTTTTTTTTTAATGAATAACCGGGGAAACAAATGTGAAATTGCAGCTGCAGACCCCAGAGGCAGACCGATTGTTTCTTCTCAAGACTCAGTTGCCCTCACGCTCTCAGAAAGGCTGACTGGGGGTGGCAGGAAGCCTGGGCTGGGGATGCAGCTGGGGCCTGTGGTGCTAATTGGAGCAGACCACTGGGCTTTAATGAGGGACCGAGACCCCCGTGCATCCCACTGCCCGGCTGGTTAATCGCAGCACTGCTGCTCACAACCTGCTCTCCCTTTGGTAGGAGCTGGCCCGGCAGGGATGTTTGTTTAACCGCTTTTTGCCTTCCGCAGGTCCCACGGGGAACTGGGGAGCTGGGGAGGGACGGGGAGAACAATGGTGGCACTCTTCCCACCCGGCCTGATTCCTTAAGCACGCTGCTCAGCCCGGGATTTATCAGGAACCCGGGGCTCCCCGCGGGCAGGCTCGGCCCTTTGCCGTGAAGGATGCCCGAACTGCAGCTCCTGGGCTGCTTGCTGCTGCTCCTAGGGGCCTGAACCCCCCACCGTCCCCCCTTGTTGGGGGGAGCAATCCGGGGCCCTGCGGTGCTGGCGGGGGGGCAGCTCGGGGGGGGGGGGGGGGGAGGTTCGTGCCTCACGACAGCTTTGGAGCTCTTGACAGTGCCCGAACGGCTCTTGGTTCAAGCACACAACATTGCAGGAGCTTTGGAGACAACCTTGGTAAATTTTGGCTTGCAGATCAACTTGACAAACTTTTAGGAGGAATGCCGGGTGTCGGCCGTTCTCGGGATAGCTCAAAAGGGACTTGGGCCAAAAAGCTTTTAGTGCCTAACTGACTCGCTCCGGTGATTTCCTTCTGAAGGCAGGCTGGAAACCTGGGATTGTTTTTAATATTGTTGTCCTGAAGTGGATGGTCCAATAATAGGAGGAAATTCAGAGTGTGTTTTCATTAAGCTGTGCCTGGAGAAGTTATGAAGTAGATATTCAGTGTCCTTGGGGAATGTGAAAAGAACAGATCATAAAATATCTCCGAAATCCAGTAGTTAACAGTGAAAACTCAGAGTGCTCTTCCTCAAAATTATCTGTGCTAAGGCAAGATAGTAAAGCATTTGGCTGTGGTAATACATGGTAGCAGCAGAAGAAACAACTTTTTATTATCCTTGGTTTCAATTTTTGGTGTCAGGTTGATTTTTTTGATTTTTTTTTTTCCCCCTGGTCTACTCTCTGGACACACTTTGACACCTACAATTATAACTTTAAGCATTCTCTTGATCAGGGAGTGAAATCCCCCCACGTGCCTGGGCAGAGACTGCAACCTGCGGCTGAGCGGTCCAACTGGACTTTTAAGAAAGACGGGACACTTTGCTTTTCCCCGTGGCCTCCAGCACAGACCTTCCGTGTCGGCGGTGGGGAGCCTGGCGCTGGAGTGGGACAAGGTGCTTCGGGCGCACGTGCTGGCGCGGTGCTGTTCTCGCAGCTCCGGTGTGAGCGCTCGCGAGCCTTGGCACGTTTGTAGTGGGTCGAGAATTCCCTCCAGGAAGGTCCCACTGTGTCCCTGGCGTGCCCCGGCGGCGCTGTGCCTGCGGCTCAGCCTCGCCGGTGCGGGCCGTGCAGCTCGAGCCTCCCGCTCACGGCCGTCCAGCGGGAAGCTCTGAGCTTTGGTCGCTTGTCCTTGCCAGCTGCCGGACGCCGCCGGGCAGTGTCTGTGTTTTGCGAGGCCTGGGAGGAGCCGTTGGGGGGGGGGGTTCTAGCCTCTTGCTTCTGTAGTTCCTATTAGGATTTCTCACTTCTGCAAAAGCCATCTGCGCACCAGATCGCTTCTGCAGCATCCCGCAGCCCGGCGGTTCCCGAGCAGCACCTTCTCCCGTGGGAGCCCTCCCCCAGTAAACTCCCGGATATCAATCCTGTCACTGCGCAGAGGCACAATATACTGAGTGTTGATGCCCAATATCGCGACGTGCAGCAATGTTAACATGCACTCCAAGAAACGGGGAAGAAGCCTTGCCTCCATTAAATCATTTATCTATTGCTGTTGCAAGTCTTCAGGCCGGGATCGTGCCCTGAGACGCTGCTATCTATCTGGCTGGAAGTAGCTGAAGGGGAAGCTGACTTGGAAGTTTTTACAGGCGTGATGTGTTGTTCAGTGTTGTCCAAACGTTTCTGTATTTAAAAGGCCATACTGAACCAGGCTGTGTACTGTAAACAGTTAATTGCTTCTCTGCTTTTTTTAAATTTCAGTTTCAAGTGCTGACCAAGTAAGAAACAAATCTAATGCAGCTGGATGCTGGTCTTTAAAACGGAATGGCAGGGAGCCAACTGGCTGCCCCTTCGCTCTTCACACTACAATAGGAAAAATGTCTTGAGCGGGAAACTCCCTTCCCCTTAGCACCAGGCCAGAAGAAGTTAACTGTGCAGACCCCACCGGCCCACAAAAGCTAATTCAGCGTGGGCCAGCCCTCTTGCAAGATCATGGTTTACTCTCTCTTGAGGTAGCGGCTAGCGGCCAGCTGAGCAAGAGACTTTAGTCTGGATAGTTTCTTGGCGTTTACTTGCCATGTTGCAGGGCACGGGTGACCAAACACCTTCCCTTTCCTGTAAAATCAATAATCGGGTGGAGTTGGTGGCTGTCAGTGTCACAGACTCAGCTTCTATGTGACTCTTTTTACCTGCATTAAGTTTGTTTTTTTTTTCTTTTAATTGATAAAAGGGGATCTTTTACTGTACACTACGCTGCATGCAGCCCATGAGGGCTGTGGTGGGGCTCTTGGTGCAGCCTCTGACCCGCTCCCCGGAGCTTTCCCTGTCCTGGCACGAGGCAGGAGGAAGCTGCCTGGGCTTGGGTTTTGATCTTTATGGCTTTCTGGTCTTTCCAGCAGCCTTGCTGTCCAATTGCCTGGAATAGTGGCCTGCTAATGCCAGCAAGGGAGGGTGTGTTGGGATCTGGGTGCAAAACAGCGAAGCAAGTCTTTGCTGCTTTGCTTTCCTGGGGAGTCTGGTTTTTTTGTTTTTTGTTTTTTGTTTTTTTTTTTTTCTGTTTGTTTGGTTCCACTGTTTTCTGAGGACGAAACGATGAACAATAGCCTGGCTGCCGCTGGCATCTGAGTAAGTTCAGCGTAGGCTGGGACAGCTCGGCGGCAGGAGGGAGGGGAAGTGGCACGTTTGCCGCCGCCGCCCCAAGGCGAGCGGAGCGTCGGTCCGGGAGAGCTCGCGCTTCCCTCGGCGGCTGGGGGGTAACTGCCGGTGCTCTCTCCCGCCCAGGCCATGCAGTACATGGAGCTGATCCCCAAGGAGATGCAGCCGGTGGCGGGGACGGACGGGGCCTGCTATCGCCGGCGGCAGCTGATGAGACAACTCCCGCTGTACGACCAGGACCCGTCGCAGTGCCGCGGCCTCGCCGAGGGCGAGCTGAAGCTGATGGAAGACTTCGTGAAGAAGTACAAAGCCGAGGCGCTGGGCGTCGGGGAGGTGGCACTGCCGGGCCAGGGCGGCGGCGGGAAGGAGGAGGGGAAGCCGCAGGGCGAGGGCATCGTTGCCGGCAAACCCCCCGAGACCACCAACGGGGCCCTGGAGAGCGCGCCCGCGGCAGGGCACTACGTGAGTGCCGCGCTCCGCGGCGGCGGGACGGGCTGGCGGGGGGTGCCCGGGGGGCTGGGGACCTGCCAGGGGACGGATCCAGCCTCGACTAGAAGGGGGAAAGGGCCGGGGTTACCTGTTCCTTGCTCCCCCCCCGGGCTCCTCCGAATCTGCTGCGATGCTCAAACTGCAGCGCCGGGGTGGGGGGGGGGGGGGGACGGGACAGGACCCCGCTGGGACCCTTCCTCGCGTGCTGGTGCTGAGCGCTGGTGTCGGTCTAGCAGGGGCGAGGAGGGGGGGTTATCCCCGTCCCCACCTCCCTCCCTCCACCGCGGGAGCTGTGCTCCACCGCCGAGGCCGGGACGTTTTCCGTCAGCTGTAGGAGCCGGCGATCTCACCTCTGGATTCCTCGGCGGCTCTGAAAGGTTGGGTGGGACGTGTCCCTGCGTCGCTGCGCAGGTGCTGAAGATGAGCAGCTGTTTTCCTGCGAGCTAGCGAGCGTTTCCAGCCCGGCTCCTAGGCCAGCACAACCACCAAGACCCCAAGCGATGGGAGGCGGTGGCTCAGTCTATTTAATGCAAAGCCTTGAACGTGGAGATAGTGCTCCCGGGGCTGGAACCGCACCGGGGAACTTTGAACAGACCGTGCCTGTCCCTGGGCATAAAAATAAATTTCCACAGGGAAAGGATTGAGATTCCCTAACACCTTTTCAGATTGATATTCTCCCAGTGCTGTCTGGAGTGGCCATTGTGGTTGCTGAGCAAATGCTTATCATGAAATATGGTGAGTGAAAATATTTTGTATTGGCCCATTTGAGGGTGCCTTTGCAGCAGATGATTTAGAGCTGGGAAAAAAAACGGTGTCTGAATGTTTTTAACGCAAGATTGGTCTAGCCATCACTGCACCAAGATTGTAAGACGTTAAGAGCAGTTTCCACTTTCATTCCATATTGGGTAATGTCTCCCCTCTGCGATGGCCACTTCTATTAACATGCATCTGACTTTGAGTCCGGTGACACAGTAAGAGTTTTCACTGTTGCAAGAAAATACTGAATTGGACAAAGAATTTTAAGCTTCAAAAATAGCCAAAAAAAAGGAAAGTTCCCATTAAACTCATTAATAAAAGTCATCTTAGCAAGGAGGGTTTATTTAGACTGCAAGTTCGTCCTTCCAAAGAAATACATAACCGTGATGTTACTCTCTGTAGTTTAAAGCATCATTTCTCTAGAGACACTAGCTGAAAAATGGAACTGCTTCAGAGCTGGAGATGCTCTTCAACCAGCAGACAGTGCAGCTCTGCTCACGGCAGACCACGAAGTGTTGTGGCTTCTTGCCGTGCTGAAAACAGACCCCCCCTCTAACAAAACACCGCCTGCTTTAATCTGATCTCCCGTGGAGGAATAAATGCAGCCGACCTGCTACGAATGGACTGTGTCCCAAGAGCTGAAATGTGCTTCACTTCCAGAAAGTCTACTGGCTTTCGCAAAACTGCACTGGAAGAAACGTTCTGCCATAGAAGAAGGAGATACAGCACTTTAATTTGCAACGTGTGCGAGTAGATGTGAGCAAAATGAGCTGTATGGAGGCAGAGGATGGATGTGAAGGGACTGAGAAACAAAGCGCATGAAGCCAATGACACTTTAATGTTGTTGATGTATTCGGGGTTGAAATGTAGATCAGCACCCTCCAGATGTGGAGGTTTAGTACCTCTCTACTAGGGTGCTGAATAGCTTGTTTTGGAGACCCTGACTCTCAAGCAGTTTCTGCGATGTTTCTTCACTGAGTCCATCAGAAGTAGGACACAGATTTGAATCTGTTGAATACCAAACCTCTTAGCCGGTACCAGGAGCTTGATTTCACCCTATTTCAGCTCAAGGTGTGAATCTGAGCTATAGATTTATGAAGGATGGATGTGTGTGGGAGGGGTGGCGGGGGAACCTGACAAAAAAATCCCACTACTCTTGCTCTGGAAGAAAATGAACCCAGAAAGCACCAAAGCTGCACCAAGAAACAAGCTGGAATGATTGCCTTGGGTGTTCGTGTGGTCCCTGTGCTAAAGTCGTTAAACCTCTTATTGCACACTCAGGCCAGCTGTGTTGAAATTGGTGTGTAAAGGAAAACATACAGGGCCAATGTAAATCACGGTGAGAGAGGCATCTGAGCTCCAACAGCTTTTTGAACTTGTCTCGGCTGCAGAGAGGGGCCCCATCACTAACAAGTCTGTCCTACGAGCTGAATGTTCTCCGCCGAGCATAAAATCATCTTTAACCCCCTCAGAACTGGAAAGTCTTCCGGCGTTATAAGCCACTGTGTTGGAGTCGAATCAAATCCTGAAGCAGTTGCTCAGAATTAGCCACTGTCCCACGAAGCTCGAGGCCAGCAGTGCGGCCTCGTGGGTCTGGGGAGCATCTTGTGTGGGAGCTGTCACCGCAAAACGGCAGCCAGCGGGCAGAGCGAGTTTGAAGAAGCTTAGGGGAAAGGGGCACTTTCTTCGCCAGCACCTCTGGTAACTCAGCTAATGAAGTCTTCACTCCTCCCTACACGGTGGAAATGTAAAATGAGTACCAAGCTCTAATCCCATCCTCAATTTGAAGAGCCGCTTTTTACTTAGTGTGCAGATGGCAAGGGGATGGAAGTTACATGATGCTGCGGGAAAGCCCTCTGAATAATTACCATAGAAAGAAACAGCAAAATAAGTTGTTTTTTTCAACCGTTCTTGTTGGCAAGAAACACGAGCTCGGAGTTGGAGAGCTGCTCGTGTTTGTTCTCGCTGTCAGATCTTGCAAGATAAGCAGGGCAGGGCTGGATGGGTCGGGGGGGGGGGGACGGAGGGGGGGGGGCAGCTGCGGGGTCAGGCTCCCTGGTGCCCCGCGTCGCCCAAATCGGATGCCCTGGGGAGGTGTCGCGGACGTAGGGGAAAAATCCGGTCCCATCCGAGGGGCGCAGGATTCACGGGTCCAACTGCCTCTGCCGGGAGCCGTGCCCTGCCAGCCGCCCCGCGCTCGGACGTGCCCCCCGAGGCCTTGGCCGGGGAAGGAGCCGCGTAAGCAGACGTATCCCCTTCCAGCCTCCCAGAAACGCCAAGCCAGGAAACATTTTCTCTCTCTTGCGCTGCCTTCGCTCTTCCTACTGGATTTCCTGGTAAAATAGGAGATGCCCGGCAGCGCGGTGGAACCACTCCAAGGACCGCAGGGCACTTACCGAAAATCCAGACGGGACGAAGGAGGAGGGAGCAGCGAACTGCGGGGCGTGCTAGAAATAATAGTAACAAAACAAAGAAAAGCCGCGGGGTGGGGGTAGGTAGGCCTGTAACCTTCTGCTGTGTAAAGGGAGAAGTGAGATTAAGCAAACACCCTAGACACAAAGAATAGTCTTTTTGGCACCCAGGCCGTGAACGAGCAGGAGGGGCTGGACGTGCTGGGGAACTTGTCTTCAGCCTGACACTTGGGGAGCTCCCAGAGAAACCCCCAGAGAGGCCCTTTCTGCTGCTGCCCCAGGGGGGTTGGAGCGGGGGGGGGGTCGCGGCGGGGTCCTGTGCGCCCAGCACAGGGTTCCCCGGGCCGTGCTGGCATCACGATGTTGTTGCTCAGGACACGGACCACAGCTGCCCCGTGGGGGGTCCCCCTCCTCCATGTCCCCCCCCCCGCCCCATCCCCGATTCCCTGCAGCTCAGGAGCGGTTCGGTTGCCTTCAATGAGAGATTTTAATTTTGTGTCTCTTCCAGCCCCGTATTAGAAGCTCGTTGACTTAAATGGGAGCGTTTGTAGGCAAAGCCACCCTCCCCAGGGACACACACACCCCCCCGGCCCTGTGGGTGCTGGAGGGGGGCCGGTGCTCCGGCCGGGTGCAGCAGCTTAAGCCCCGCACGTGCGATGCACAGGCTGCTTCACACCAAGTCCTGGGCTCGTAAAAGCCTGAGCCAGGCTGCCGGGGGAAGTCTGGCCTTGCAGCCAAGGGCTCTGCTGGAAGACACTCCAGCTCCTACTCAAGAGCATTTCTTCCAGGCAGTGACAGAGCACAGACTCAGAAGCTATTAGCTTGCCCTGGACTACCCAGGCTTAAATGGGAACTGAAATAACAGCCCATCAGCTGTCAGCTCCGGAGAGGAGAGCTTTAAAGCCTGCTCTTAACTAATCGCAGGATCACTCTGCAGGCGCGGGTGAAGAGTGAACTCAGTTGGTCTTGTGTGTAATATGCACAGACGCTAATTAATCATCAGATTAGCCAAATCTAATTCTGTCTCTTTGGACTGTTATAAATTGAAAGCGCTGTGCTGGAATCTTTGGCGTGACATCCGTCTTACGCATAGAGATGTATATCAAAAAACTGTGAGAAAAGAACAGAGTTCCTAATCTCTCTGCAAAGTAACATCTTTGACATTCCGCACTTCTGCACTATCGGATGTCTTAACTCTTTCTTGGAGAACCTCTGGATTTTAGTGAAGGTTGGTTTGAGCTTGGGGGGTGGTCCCAAAGGGCAGACACTTAGGGGTTGGTGGCTTGTGCCATTCTTACCTGCCTGAGGATCTGGCTGGAGGGAAGCAAGCAGTATTCTGGGTAGAGACTGGCAAATATATACTTATAATAACTTTTAATTATGTTATAGATAGACACTCTGTCCCTACATGGCACTGGTCCAAATGTTTGCACAGAATATGGAGCGATAGAACTTGAGATGTTGGTTCTGTTGGCTGTGGGGGCCCTGTGGTCTTCTCTGTGTTGTCTGAGTCCTGCACAACTGAGATGTTTTCCCCAGCGCTTTCCTCAAGCTGCAACCATTACTTTCTCTTCGCTTCGGCGTTTCCTTGCTCTTCCACCTCGCTGCACTGTTTCTATAATCCTCCTTTCAGGCCGGTGGGTTTCGCTGATAGAGCTGTAAACTCCGGCTTTGGTATTCTCAAGCTTCCCCTCACAGAACAAGAGCTCGAGCAAAACCAACCTAAGTCGCACGGCTTAGCAGTCCTGGAATTAAACGTTTTATTTCCACTGTCCTCCTTGGCGCTGTGGGATATGTCGAGCAGGAGCGCAGCTGGTCCTTTCAGAAGCGGGAAGCGTTGAGGATGTGCTTGGAGATGGTGGTGGTCTGTTTCGCTGTCCGTGCTTCCTACCAGCGGCGCGGGTAACAGCGATGCCTTGAAAAGATCGTAGAATGGTTTGGGTGGGGAAGGACCTTAAAGATCCTCTAGTTCACCCACTCCCCCCCTGCCGCGGGCAGGGCCCCCTTCCCCCAGCCCAGGGGGCTCCCAGCCGTGTCCAACCTGGCCTTGAACCCTTCCAGGGAGGGGGACGGTGCCAAAAACCATTGTGTCTGAGAGGTGGCTGCTGGAGGTGGCCGCCGCCTCCCCGCCCGACGCGCGCTCACCCCGCCGCCTCTCCCTTGCAGCGCTGCGAGACCTGCAAGCAGGCGGTGCCGGGGGACTGCCCGGTGGTGTACGCCGACCGGGCCGGCTACTCCCGCCAGTGGCACCCGGCCTGCTTCGTCTGCTGCCGCTGCTCCGAGCCCCTCGTCGACCTCATCTACTTCTGGAAGAGCGGGGCTGCCTGGTGCGGGCGGCACTACTGCGAGAGCCTCCGCCCGCGCTGCGCCGGCTGCGACGAGGTAGGGACCGGCCGCTTGGCCTCCCCACGCCCTTCGGGTGCCGGCGCCGGGGGAATCCAGGGCTTGTCCTGGCTCCTGCCCTCACCCCCCCGCCCCGGCATCCGGCAGCATCCTGGTGCTGGGCGCCGGGGATGGGGGGGCCTAAAAACGGGGTGAAGCGGCGCGATGTTAACGACAGTCTGGGGCAGCCCTGCCCTGTCTATCTCAGAGCAACAACCCAGCTCTAGTTGCGCTTAAAACCTGGCGGTTTTATAGTGCTTAACTGCAGCCCACGGCTGGCTCAGGAGCAGTCCCCTGCCTTTCCTTTGCCTGTTGCTAAGCCTGGCTAACGGGCTTGGTGGGGGGACACCAGGCTGGGGGGCTCCTGCCGTGCTCCGGCTTAGCGAGACGATGGAAATAAGCAATTGTCTGTCTGTCTGTCCTGTAGATCATCTTCTCGGAGGACTACCAGCAGGCAGGAGGGATGGCCTGGCACAAGAAGCACTTTGCCTGCCTGGAGTGCGAGACGCTGCTGACCGGCAAGCCCTTCGCTCTGGACAACGCCAGCCTCAAGTGCACGACCTGCAGCAAAAGCAAACGCCTCTGAGCCGAGCGCCCCGAGGTCCCGCCAGAACTGCGGTCATTCGACAAGCACAGGAGAAGGGGAAGGTTAAAACAAAATTAGAGCCTGGCTGTTCACCTGCAAGCAACTCAGTGCCCCCCTTGCATCCAGTACAGCTTGCAGGAGAGCGTTGCCTTGAGGAGGAAGCAAAGGAGGCTCGTGTGCTTGCGGGTGGGAGGTGCGCGGTCTGTCTGGCGTGGAGGGACTGAGAAGGAGGTTCTGTTTGTGCTGGGTTTTTATTAAGCGTCTCCAAGCTGCTTCTGACTAAGATCTTGCAATAGTCTTTTGGAAATAACACATCTCAAAAGTAACTTTCGGCATACTAAACCTACGGTCATGGTCAAAACCAAGAGCTGTTCCTATTTTTCGCGCTCTGTACTGGAAGTTTACACTAAGAGGCTCCTGACAACTGTACTGAATCAATGGGTTTGAAGAATTTGATGAACCAGGGCGATTACTTTCTGAAAACAAACAGTATGTGGGGTGATTACTTTCTGAAAACAAACGGTATGGAATTGCAGCAACACGCAGCTGTGGCTTTCTCCTCCTGAGTGTCCGATAACGTAGAAGTGTCGCGCTGGCCCCCAGGGCGGTGGGTTTAACCCTGGCGAGATGAGGGGAAGGGCTCAGCCCTGCCCGGGGCAGCCGCCTGCCTCAGCCCACGCCGGCTTCAGCCCTGAAACCGGAATGCAAGAGCGTGGCTGGGGTGTCCCGTGAACGGGCCCCCACCGGCTCTCGCCGCGGGCGAGCGGGGTGCCCGCAGCGCGGCACCGCGCTCCTGCCGCCGCGCTGGGGCTCGGCGAGCGCTTGAAGTACGCGCCTACATTTCAGCTGGGTTTCATGGGGAATTTTATGGAAAGCAGCTTTGCAGGCGGAGCTGTCTTGGGGCAGGGGGTTGTGCCTGAACTGCTGCAATGCCAGTTCCTCCCTGTAGCGGGTCAATGCCCCCCTCCAGGTACCAGGGAACCGTACCTCCCCCTCGGAGCCCGCAGCACGCTCGCCCCCTTGCCCCGCAGCTCTCCTGTCCCCAGGGGACATCCCCGTCGCCTCGGGGATCTGGTAGGGGTGACACCATCCCAGGATCCGGCACTGAGCCTGCGGATAGTATTTGTTCCCTACATCAAGCGGCGCTTCTGGTGGTCACTGAGGATAGCAGATAGCCCAGGCTGGCCGGTGTCTGTGTGCTCAGTCTTTTTTCATACCGAAAATGTCTACATTATTTGCCAGAGAACTGGAATTTTTTTTTTTTTTTTTTTGCAGAGGTGAGTGTGCAAGGAGCTCACAATCGCTGGGTTTTCTTTCTGCTCCCGAGCACGCTGGTTTAAAGCGTGCTCCGTGCTGCGGATGTTTGCTTGCTTATGCTGAAGCAACTTGCAAAGGAGGGGTGGGGGAAACTGTGCCTGCCGCAGGGTTAGAGCGGCAGAGCCCCTTGTTGGGGCGAGACTGGTGGGGTGTAAAGACATACCTGGGGGAAGGGGGTGCGTGAGCACCTCTTAAGTTTTGTCCGGCCCTGTGCTGTGGCTGCTGTTCCTGGAAACGCTGGGGGATTCAAAGCAAGCAAACATAAATGCTGCTGCTGGAGCAGAGCAGGAAAATCCTGAGGTGGGAGCGACGGCTGTAGCCATGGGGTGACGGGGGGGGGGGGGGGTGTTGCGGGGTATGGGGGTGCACATGCTCCTGGGGTGCTTGGCCCATCTCGGGTTCACCAAGGGGAGCGGTGAGTGTCTGGGGGTGTCGCTTCTGTGAACTCGGTGGGATGCTGCAGGTCAAGAGAGGAGCTGCAGGTCACGAAGCTGTGCTAGGAACAATAAAGCTGCCTTGGCTACAGGCACTTTGGTGATAAGCAAAGCGGGAATGAAAAGTAAAGCCCAGTGCTTAGCCCTATTGCCTCTTCTTCAGTTCGTTGCAAGGAGATGTGGCTTTACATCTTTGTAGATTGTTTTAAGAGGCACGTTGCTGTTCTGAGCCCTGCGACGTTAAGGCAGCCAAAAGTGGGGGCGCGCAGCGTAAGCGGCGATGGGAGCGGTGCGTCACCTCTGCAGCGCTATTTCAGCCGGGGCAGTCGCGCCCGAGCGGCGTTCCCCCGGGGGAAGGTCCCTGCCCGTCTGCACACCCAGCTGGTCACCACGCAGAGTGACTTGCCCACGAGGCCGGTGCACAGCCATGACCCAGCTGTCTGGAAGAAAATTAAATGCAAAAACAAAACAAAACAAAAAAAAAATCAACACCACTGAACCCCTCTTTTTGTGGGGTCCCCTGCTCCCTCCCCTCCTTGGGGAGGTGCGTGGGTAAAGGGGGTTCCCCCCTTCCACCACAGCCAGGGTTATAAAACCAACGGAGGCTCGAAGGGAGGCGGTGGGGAAGAGGTGGGGTCACCCCCCCCTGCCCCGACCCTCCCTGCCACGGGACCGGTGTCTGAGCGAGAGGGGTCACGTCAGCTTTATGCGCCAGGATTGTCCCCAACGGCAGCACCTTCATGGGGCTTCTCTTGCGGGGCTGTGACCGCAGCCCCCCCAGAGCAGCATCAGCTTCCTCGCAGCCTCTTTCCACGGACACTGTCCTCCCTCACTGATGCTTTTGCTCGGCTCCTTGGGAAAAAGATCCCACCGTGGCGCGTTCTGGTTTGGGGGTTTCATTTTGTGGTCTGTAAATTGTTAATTCCCCCCTGAAGTCCCCGTTTCAGCCTGCACATGATTGCTTCGGGCTTTTTGGACTGCTGGCATCCACTCAAGCCTTTCAGGTATTTCTGCAGCTTGTAAAATACTGTCTGCTAAAAAAACTTACTGCAATTAAACAGCTTAACGAAATCCTGTGCCTCTCAAGTGTCAGGAGCAAAAGCATGAAATTAATGTATCTAACAGCTCAAAACATATGTGAGTCTTTAGTTTTGATATTAAAATTGAAATTCAGTGTAAGCATGAGAAGATATTCACCCCAAGTGAAGACATTACGCTGTGTTTTGCTGTGGTTTATCATCTAGAACGAAGGGGGCTGCTGCCGCTGCCTTCTGTGGGTTACGAGCTCTGGTTTTCAAGACAGTTAAACTGAGAGGGGTATGCTGGCCTGCCTCATAAAGAGCCATCAGCGAGCGATGTACAGAGGGTCTGTCCAGAAAGTTAATAAAAACGGAGGTGTTTCATGGGGCTGCTGTGTACGACAGGAGCAGACTAAGGGCAGACTGTTGTGTGCCTGTTTGAAAAGCATCTTGTGCCACGGCTGTGCCCAGTCCGTCGCTGCAAATAAAAGCTCCCGTACCAAGGTGTGCGTGTGCCTTGGCTGGTGCAGGCTGCCCTGGGACCCCGGGTGAGCGGGGTCACCCCCGAGGGACCCCGGGGTCCCCTTCCCCACCCCCGGCAAAGGCGGGGGGGTGGGGGACGGCGCCAGCAATCCCAGTTGCTGATTCAGTTGGTGTCCCGGCCCCTCAGCAGCCGTGTCACCGCCGCGGGAACGCTGCTGCTCCGGGGACGGCGAGGTGGTCCCGGCTCATTACGCTGCTGCTCCGAGCTTACAAGTCTCTTGTGAAGGCTGAGGCAGCAGCGGGACGGGGTGCAATGGGATGCTCACGCCCTGCCGGGGGGGGAGAAGGCACCTCCCAGGAGTGCACCTCCTGCCTGCTCCTGGCAGGCTGCTGGAGGAAGAGCCGTGTCTGTACGCAAGCGGACACATGGACAGCTCGGGTGTTCGTGGGTGTTCGTGGGTGTTCATGGATGTTCATGGATGTTCATGGATGTTCATGGACAGGGACGGGTCTCACTGTGCCGTGTCGATGGGCAAAGGCAGCCAGCACAAGGACTTTGTGCTTCCTATATGAACATTCATCTCCCATTTAAACTCAAAAGTTCTGTATAGTTGTTTTCCTGAATACAACTGACTATACATGAAAATGTTCCTAAAGCTTTCAATAAACTCTTTCTGGATACGAAGTCTCCCAGGTCTGGCTTCGGTTCCCTCCGCGGTCTCGGGGCGGGCGTGCTGCCCGAGGGAAGGGGGCGAGGGCTCCTGCGAGGAGGAGGAGGGAAGGAGGAAGGTCCCGAGGTGCTGCTGCTTTTCACAGGCCAGAGCGCGCTGCCATCCCGGGTCCTGCTCGACTCTGCAAAACCTGGGGATGCTTAGATATTTCTGTTGGGATAACTAACTCATCGCCCAGTGCCGTTAGTTATTTGAGGTTAATTAGTTAGCAGGCTTAGTGAGTGCAACCACCCCCGGTGTTTCCTCGGGATGGCCGAAGAGGGGAAGTTTTTATTTGAAAATAAACTCTTTAATGGAGGAGAAATGGCTACTGGAGCGTAGCGGCGCTGGCAGGGGAGGGTGGCTGTGCCTGAGCCCTGGCCCTGGGCTTGTGGATGAGCCCCCCGGGCACGAGGGGCTGCGCCAGGCACAGGGGGTCCCTCCACAGCCCCCCCCCCCCCCGACTGCAGCCCCAGCCGGGAGCGGGTGGAGGGAGGGAGGGCAGAGGGAAAATAACCATTGACTGGGCAGAAACCACATTTCAGCTGGAGTTTTGCAAGCTGAAGTTTTTCAGAGCTTAACTGATCTGAATCTACAAATATTTGCAGAGCTGTCTCATTTGCGGTCCCCCCCTTTTTTAAAAAAAAAAAAAGAAAAAGAAATATTTGAGGAAGAAAAAGGGACCATCTGTTTGTGATTTGAGAGGATTTCGGCAGTGAAAGGCAGAGGTTGTTTAAGGACAGCGGCTCCGTTTAGGTCACCTTCCTCCTCCCAGGCTTCCCACAGCATCCCCCCTTGCCACCGGGGTCATCCCCAGCCCAGGACCACACGTGCCCTGGGACCAGAGGAGGAATTGGCCCTGGCTTCGGGGGGGGGGGTAGCCGTGCACTGCCCTGCACACAACCATGGGGAGCCTTCACTGCCAAGGTGGGGAGAAAAACAATAAAGGGACAAGCCGTGGCTGGAGCGCTGCCTTTATACACCTCAGCAAGGGAGGTGGGCTTGAAGGAAGGGAGCCCTCTGCCTGAGTGGATGCTGATTCTTTGTACGTATTTGCAAAATACGGCCTAAGACAAACGATATAACCTGAAATAAAATTTCTCAGCTCAGATGTGTAGGAGAAAATTAGCTATCCCTGTGACAGGAGGACAGGATCTTCTCATTAACGGGCTGCACCTTCAAGGCGAGGTGTCAACCCCCCCCCCCATCAGTGTCGAGGGGGGAACGAGGGAGCTGGTGGGAACCTCGCAGCAAGGCTGGCTCCCACCCCTGCTCTGCACAGGGCTCCCCCGGCAGACCTGGAAGCATTTAACTGGTTTCCATCAGAGGTCTATGGAAAACACCTGGGCACTGTGATTTATTTACAGGCCCCGTAAGCCGTGAAGAGGGGGCTCTGGTGCTGAGGGAGCAGTGGCAGGGTGGGGGCTGCAGGATGTGTGGGCCTGGGGCCAGCTCTGCACCCCCTGTGCTTCTGGGACCCTGCAGAAAAGGTAAGAAAATCCTAAAAAGGGAGGAGGGGGGAGGTATTTGCTCTACTACTGACCTTCTCCTGCAGCACGCAGCTTTTGGGTGTGAGAGCAGGTCTGCTCTGCAGGACTCCTCCTCTGGCCCTGGGGGGAGGCTGTTCTGCTCTGGCCCGGGAGGTGGAGGTTTGGGTCGGTGGGGATCGGGCTGTTTCACGTCATTCCAGGCAAGAAAAGCTGAGCAGCATTCTCCTTCACAATGTATTTCAAGAAAAAAATCTGTTTGCTTGGATAATTCTCCAATGAATTAGACTCGGTCCTGGCCTGTTAGAATCAACAGGATTCTTGTTATTTACCTTGGTGGTAACAAGCAGCGATAGAGAAGTTGTTGATCTTGAGAGTGTAACTCAATAAGAGACTGATACCTGGGTGGAAGACAGTTGCCTTAAACAGAAACTTTTAAGGAGTCTTATTACTGCAGTCAATTCTTGAGAAGGTGATTTCAGATAGCTGTAACTAATAAAACTAAAAATTCAGTGGTTTCAGGTGAGAAAAACATAAACCAAAGGCAGGCTGAGGTGGCTATATAAACACTACAATAAAACTTGCTTAAAAGCCCCAGAGAGAAAAATTTAGAGGTGAAAAAACAAGTATTCATGAAGTACTGGTGTGTTTCAGTGGAAACACTTCCAGAGACTCGCAGCAGCTGCTGCTTTAGGACTGAGCTAAATAAAGTTCGTATGGCTATGCGTTATTCTATAAAAAGTGAGGTTAATTATGCCTATATAAATCGAATTTGAGCTCTTTATTTACCTTTTAACTCAACTTCTTCGGCTAACCCGTCAAAAAGGTAGACCTCTCCACAATGAGGTTTTTATGCATTGTTGCCCCAACTTTGGGGCACCGGGGCACCCCGGGCAGCCCCGCACTCCTGCAGCACCCCCCGATTCACCCCTCCGCAGAGCCCTGCCCTCCCTGCCCTGCCCAGGAAGGAAAACCGAAGGGAGCCGGGTTCTGCCTGCCTGAAGGATTCTCCTGCACCCCCCAGCCCCTGTTGCTGGAGTGGGGGTGAGCTCTGGCTGGGCCCCTGCAGGTTGCAGGACCAGCGCTGCAGAGGCTGAATGCTCTTTTTTTAATCAGATTTTTTTTAAATTGTGCAAAGCGCTGACACGTTTCAAAGCTCCACTCGCTTGGCAAGGTTAATTCCCCCTCGTTGCTTTTCCGCAGCCTTTGCTA